AGATCCAAGACTTCACGATCAGTCGGTGCTGGGGCACTCTTTCGATTCCCAGACTGCACGGCCATCACTGCTGGAGAGCTCTGCATCGTTACCAGTGCTGCTGTGCTCGCCACGCTGTCCAGACAGGAAATGAGATTCAAACTGGCCAGACAGGAAAAGGAATTCAAATTCAAATTTTCCCGGGGCTTTTCCTGTGTGGCTGGTCAGAGCATCCGAGCTCGCACTGCTGTCCAGAGCGTCAACAGAGTGGTGCACTGTGGGATAGCTCCCGGAGCTATTAGCGTCGATTTCCATCCACACCTAGCCTAATTCGACATGGCCATGTCGAATTTAGCGCTACTCCCCTCGTCGGGGAGGAGTACATAATTCGAATTAAAGAGACCTCTATGTCGAACTAAATAGCATCGCAGTGTGGACGGGTGCAGGGTTAATTCGATGTAACGGCGCTAACTTCGACATAAACGCCTAGTGTAGACCAGGCCTCAGTTAAAAGTGAAAATTAATCTTTCTTAAATATTCATTAATTTTTTTTTTTAAATCTGGTTTGGCACTTCTGCATTTCTCTATAAAACCATGCTTTGAGATGGTCGGGCTGCAGGAGGGCAACTGGCACCTCCTGCGGGCGCTGGGTGTGAGATTCGGGAGCAGCCAGGCTGTGGGGTGGTACCTCCAGTGGGCGCCGGGCACAAACTTGTCTTGTAGAAAAGGTGCTGAACTGGAATTCCAGACATCTGGATTGAACAAATCATTCCATCTTCCTGGGTAGAGAAATTTATCCACCGAGCAGAGATCCGGCACAAAACCCACCTGAAGACTTAAGCTCTGCATCGGGGTTGTACTGGAGATCTGCTGGCAAACAGCTGGGCCAGGGTGCTGCATGCTCCATGTGAGCTTCAGAAAAGCTGCAATAGGAGCAGGCTAGTTGAGGAGCTGCAAACTTTACCTTTGCATGGATAAATCGGGCCTGTAGCCGGGTGCTGGTGCAGAGGCACCCAATTAGCCCCTGCTCAGCCAGCCCCAATCAGGGGAAATAGAGAAATCTGGTGCCTGGCCTTTAGAACTGGCTGCACCTGTGGGCTGGAGGGTTCAAGGACTATAAAGGCTGGCTGGCTGGCAGTCAGAAGGAAGTGGGGGGATGGCCAGGGGAAGGTCAGTCTCTGGGTGGAAGTGGAGATTGTAAGGCCTGCAAACTGTATATAGTATATCACTGGTGGTGGGAGAAGTCTGTAAATAAAGCCACGGGTGCTGCAGAAGGAGAAGCCTCTCTGTGCGTTATTGGGGCAGCCAGTGGGCCCCAGGAAGAAGGATGGGCAGGGGGCCTGTTACAGGGCCCATTATTCTGTGCTAGTGATTGCAGTCCATAGGCTGTCTGACCAGTATTGGCCAGGCAAACATGCCCATCAGTGGCAGGTGGGTGAGTGTCAGAAGACAGGATACTGGGCTAGATGGAACTTTGGTCTGACCCAGTATGGCCGTTCTTATGTTCTTATGACATTAGGAGCCTAAATATCTCAATCTCTGTGCCTTTGTGCCCCATCTATAAAATGGGGTAATAGCACTGTCCTACCTCTAACTGGCCCTGCGCATGGAACTGGAAGCATTTCTGAGCATGCTACCATGGCAGTCCTGGACTTCAATCTCTTACCTAGCAGCCTAAATTTGGCTCCAGGACCTGTCTCCTATCCTTCCCTTTGTCATTGGTATCTACATATACCACAACCACCGGCTCCTCCCCAGCACTACACATAAGCCTATCTAGATGTCTCAAGAGATCCACAACCTTCGCACCAGGCAGGCAAGTCACCATGCGGTTCTCCCGGTCATCACATACCCAGCTATCTATGTTTCTAATGATCGAATGGCGCATTACTAATACCTGTCTCTTCCTAATAGTTGGAGTTTCCTCCCCTGGAGAGATATCCTCAGTGCGAGAGGATACCATAACATCATCTGGAAGGAGGGTCCCAACTATGGGATCGTTTCCCTCTGCTCCAGTTTGATGTTCTCCTTCCCTGAGACTTACATCCTCCTCAACAGTACAGAGGCTGTTGGACTGGGGGTGGGACCATTCTACTGTGCCCCAGAAAGTCTCATCTATGTACCTCTCTGTCTCCCTTAGCTCCTCCTGTTCCACCGCTCTGGTCTCCAAAGCCCGTACACGGTCTCTGAGGGTCAGAAGCGAATGCACACATATGCCACCCACCCAAAGGGCAGATAATCATACATGCTGCATTGGGTGCAATACACTGGAAAACCCCCACTCTGTTGCTGGACTTCAGCAACTGATTTCAGAGTCACACTGTAAATGTGTGGTGGAACAGGGACTTGGACACAGGTCTCCCAAGACCTATGCCAGTACTCTAACTCCTGGATAATCCTTCCTCTCTAGAAAAGTTGTGACAAGTCCATACAGTCAGTCAGTGTCAGGTTTAGGGGAAGGCTTCAGGAGTTCCTGGGTTCCAACCCTCCCCTCAGATCCACACATATCTCTAAAGCTTAGAAAAATAAGGTAAGGAAGAGTCCCTTATCCTTTGCTTTCTCTGTTGGCTCTTGTTTGTGTGAAAGTTAGTATATTTGGATCTATCATTAATTGCTAAAAAAGAATGTGTTAGGGTATAGTAGTGCTGCTGTAGCTTCAAAGGAAACTGATAGCCTTGCTGTTAAGTAGGGAAAAGAATATTCTTTTCTAAAGGGATAGCTGCTTATTTCTTCTGTGTGTTTAAAATCATCATAGTCCTGCAAGTCATCCTGTTGATGAGACTCTTTCTAGCTAGCAAGGAGTTACAGATTTGAAGGGCCAGATCCTCAGTCCTGCTTCATCCCTTTTGTGCTGCTTTGGCAGTTCAAAGAGACTGTGCGGGTAGCTTAAATAGCTTGGTGTGGGGGGACTCTTCAGGTGGCATCTGTCCAGTGTAAGCAGCTGTGCGGCCTCCAGAGTAGGGGCCTGGCTGAAGTAGAGTATTGCCTACTCTTTTGATTTTATCGTGTGTCCCATGATATCTGGTGTTTTTCTTAAAGTCTGACCTCCTGGAGTCATTTGAATACAAGAGAATCTCAGCTTTCATTAAAAAAAAAGTAAATGTTTATCCCCCATTGTTGTGAGGACAAGCTTGAAAATGTGAACCCTAAAGGTTGAAAAGCCAGAAGGGAACTAAAAAGAACTCCCAATGTGTGATTTGCAGGCCTGGCTAGTGGTTTTTGAATGCTTGGGGTTGGCAATACTGAGCATTGCTGCACTCCTGCGATCCTCCGTTACCATAACTGTCCCTTGTGAGCCACTGTAGCTGGGCACAACTTAGAGGAGTAGCTATTCAAAATCAAATCCAAGTTGGATACATCCCAGCCCTGTTCCATGATCACAATGAGAGAGAAGAATGTTTGGAACCTGAATTAGTCTGTTCTAGGCCTTCTGCATTTTACTGAAGTTGCAATTGCTTTATAATAAAAGGACAGCTCCTCATCTGGTGTAAATCACTGGAGCTACTCTCATTTACACCAGCTAAGGATCTGTTCTCAAAATTGTGCTTAAATCTCAGTTTATTTAATTATTTTTCAGAAATGTTCCTTAACTTATTTCATTTTTTTCAGTGTCCAACAGATACCAAAGCAACATTTGGGGTCCATCTTAAAATAGTGGGAGACTGGACAGGTATGTAGAAACAAACTTTCCTTTTTAGGCACAAATACCTTCACTTGAAATTTTATCTCCTGAAGGCTTGAATACAATGATCACACTTTGATTATGAAGATTTTTCACTAGAAGTTATTCATATTTATTTGTCAAAAGTTGCCTTTATTGCTTTATCAATGCCACCGCTGACTTTTTCAGATGTGTATTTCTTTAGATAACACATTTTTTTAGTACTAACAGATATTCTGATTGTCAGCTAATTATTAGTAATGTGCTTCAGTCTCTATGCTTTTTACAATAGCCTGCTGCCTCTGTGCCAAGTGTAATGGTGCCTGCAGAAATGCTGAAATGTGCACTCCCTTGATAAGGGGATTTTAATACCAGCAGTTCGGTTGACTGCCGGGTTAATTAACACCTATGGCACACTGAGATTACAGGTTGCTTTCATGTTCTCCTCTGCTCTTCCGCTGCTCTGTCAATATTCTCCAGACCGCAGGTGTCAACCTGGATTCCATGCAGAGGAGAATTCTAATTTGCTGCTCGACGTGACAGCTGTTTACTTAGGTGACAGTTGTCATTGGTGTCTGATGGGTGATTTTTTCCAGCTTTGCATTTTCTGTCTTAAGAGGAAGCCGGCTCATTTGTTTTTTGTAGAGGAATGTCTTCTATATTCACTTACTCTGGTTCATCAATGTGGGGTGGGCTTGGTACCCACCACTTCTCCCCAGGACCAGAGAGCCGCTTAAAGAAAAAACAAAGTGGGGAGGTGTTAACTAACTGATCTTTCTTGAGGGGTTGGGAACTTCAGCAGGTGCGACTGGCTGCCTGATTTTAGTAGACATGGTTTTGTATGTTATACTCCTTTCCCTCTGCTTAGTGTTTGTGTTATCAGTTTAGATGGTAAGCTTTCTGGGGCAGAGACTCTGTTCTGCTCTGTCTGGACAGTGCCTAGCACTGTGGGACCCCATTCTCAGTTGGTCCTTAGGCTCTACCATAATAAACCTGGTTAATAAATAAGAATAAGAATAATAGACAGTTGTACTTTCCTTCAGGTCTGTCTCCTCAGCTTGAATTCCTGTTATTTACAGCTCTCTTCCTGTATCTGATCATTAGATTTCAAATAATTTACACCTGATACCATTGAGGGCTCACGCTGTATTGCAGAGAGGTCAATTAAACGCGTACATAAGAACATAAGCGTAAATTAAAGGGATGCGATGGTGCAGATATATGGTGAATCAGAGACGCGCTGGTTAGTTCAGAGCAATTTCCCATGTCCCTGGCTGCTGCTCCTGCTACCTGCACCTGTGAGATGCCGTGAAGAAGTGGTAACCTGGGTTGCTTCTGGCTCTAACGACTTGAGGGAGCAGATATACCATGCTGCTATAGGCATACCTATGATAGATTTTTTTTTTGGCTAAGTCACTCATGTGGGTTTTGTGCTTTTCTAAAAATTGAACGGAAAACCATGTGGCCTGAGTATTTGGGGGCAGGGAGGCAACTGCACATGGGTAGGAGATGTGTGTAGCGCTGAAGTCAGAACAGGTTTGAAAGAGTGATTACCACATCCCTGATCAGGCGATGACAGAAGGATAATTGAGCTGGCAACTCCTTGTGGGAGGTTTCTGTTGATGGAACATCATTTCTTGCCTAGGTTCCAGCAGATATAAATTTAGCATCCCAGTAGATGTAGGAAGTAGCTTCTGAATGAATAATTATGACTTCAGAAGTACATTTTCAGGCCAGGAGCAGATATTTAATATATCTTCAGGCAATATAATTACTCACTCCTAAGAAGTAGTGATTTAATACAATGGAACATGGGATGCATTTGAACAGCGGGGGGGAAATGTAGTTTTGAGACTCATTTAAAGGGCGTAGCCTGTGGGCCAAATTTTCAGCCAATGTGTATCAGAGTAGTTCCATTAAAGTCAGTGGAGCCAGGCCAGTTTACACCAGCTGAGGATCTGTCACGTTAATTAATACCTTTTCAGAAAGGCTGTGCATGGTCTCCCATTTTGTTGGCAGAACATGCATCCTGAAGATGACTTTTGGGTGCAGATAAGAGTACTTTTCATTTATGGTCATATGGTAATAATACTGGAGATCCCATTGTGCTAAGTTGTGCAAAAACATATTGGGAAACAGACACTGCCCCCAGGGGTTTATGATCTAAATCAGTGGTGCCGAGCCTGATTACACAGGAGGGCCACATAGATCTAAGCACAGCCTTGTGTGGGCCGAACAGATTCAACGTATTTTAATAAGATTTAAAATCACTTGTATTGATTTAAGTTCCGCTTGTTTCGTGTGTATTTAGATAGGTTGTATAAACTAAAATGACGTAAACATGACAACAAAATGCTAATTAATTGGCGTTAGTATATTGTGTTGAAATAGGGCGTGGGCCTTACGAAATGCTCTGGTGGGCCATGTGCAGCCCCCGGGCCATAGGTTGGGAACCCCTGGTCTAAATAGATAGGCCAGACAAAGGGTGGGAGGCAAGGCATAATTATTCCTTGTTTACTGATGGGGATCAGAGGCATAGAGAAACTAAATTACTTGCTCAAGGTGATACAGGGAGCCTGTGGCAGCACCAGAATTGGACCCTGAGTCCCAGTCTAGTGCCTCAACTACAAGACCAATCTTTTCTCCTGTATTTGAATCCATAGCTACCTGATTTGTATACATTTAGGGCAGTGGGGCTTGGTGGAGTGTGTAATTCTGTCCCTGGGAAAGAACAGCCACCTTGTTGGCCTTGTAGAACTGCTCAAGCATCCGTGGCTGTAGGGCTAGACTCTGCAACTCCTGGATGCCACACTCATTGTTCCAGGGCCACAGTTTGGTTTTTAACTGGCAGAGAAAGAAGAGATATAATCCTGGAAGACATCGGTCTGAAAGGGCTAGATTGGTGCCAAAAGAAATTCCTTGTGTAAGATTTCTTAAAGGAAATCACAATCCATGTAAGATTTTATTTCCTTTTAAATGTCTTGATGGGGGCTTCTGATCAGTCTGCTTATGCTTAATGAAATACAATGTACTGGGTATCACCCCAAAACTGTATCAGGTAAGGTCACAAACACAGGTGGGGCTTTGGCACAGGCTTGCCAATAAAGAATGCCCAAGTTCTAATTTATCCTCTGGGAACGACTCTTTTTGTGACCAGGGGCAAGCAATATAACCTCCTCCCCTTAATTACCCTGTTTGTAAACTGCTTTCCTGGCTCCCATAGATGTTGTGAGGATTAATGAGTTGATATCTATAAAGCATTTGGCAGATGGCAAGTGCCATCTAAGTGGTACATTAGCCCTGGTCTGCTCTTAAAACTTTTATCAGCAGAGCTGTGATGGTTAGGGGTGAATTTTTTTTTTTTTTTTTTTTTTTGCTGATATAGCTATGGTGGTAAAAGCCCTAGTGTACACATAGTTTTACCAGTATAAAAGTGCTGTGCCAATATAGTTTATTTTGCTTCCCAAACTGGAGTAAAGCACTGTTGGACCATGTAGCGGGGTGGTTACCCGCTCCAGCCCTGACAGGGTAGAAGTCAGCCCTGGGAGAGGGCCCAAGGCTAAGAGAAAAAGCCCAAGCTGATTGGGGAAGGAGCTACACCTGGGCCACGCCCCAATCAGCGTAGCTGGGCCTTATAAGAAGGCCAGCGCAGCCAGAAGCTGAGCAGAGTCTCTCCTCTAGTTGTGGAGGGAGACTGGCCTGGCCGCAGGGGAATAAGAGGGTAGCTGGGAGTGAAGCAGGGCTGGGGAAGAGCTAGAGGAGCTGGGGAGCTCCAGTCTGGCAACTCCCCGGGCTGCAGGGCCTGGTTCCAGGCCCATAGAGGCACTGGGTGGTAGAAGAAGGCAGCAGGTCAAACCCCCTTGCCTGTGATGAGTGGCTTTTATACTGCAGTCTGCCCCAGTGAGCGGGGGGCTAGATGGTGATTGGCAGTACCCCAGACTGAGGCGAGGTGGGGGTAGTGGGTGGGGGTTCCCTGGGGAGGGGAGACCCACAAAAACTGTTGGGGTATTGCCAGGGGCCCAGAGAAAACGGGCGCCGGAGTCTGGGAGGGACACGGGGGCCAAGCTGTGGCACTCGGGGGCCTGTAGAGGGCACTCCGGGCTGGAAATTGAGTTAATTCCCTGAGAGACCAGCAGGAGGCGCTGCAGGGGTGAGTCCCACACGCTTACAGACCAGTATCTACCGGGAGAGAAGGGGATGTTGCCCTAGGCAATTTGCCATCTGTAAAATGGGGATAATAGCACTTCCTACCTCACAGGCATGTTGGGAGGACAAGTGCGTTGAAGATTGGGAGGTGCTCGGGTACAATGGTGATGGGGGCTATAAAAGTACCTAAGATAGCTTTGCCACTTTAATTATGCCAGCATAGTTAAAGTGCAAAACTTTTCAGTGTAGACAAAGCCTTATAGTCTCTCTGATTCAGTAGATAAACATTAGCTGATTAACACCTGTTTGTTCTGCTTCTCTACTTTCTGGCTGGTGACCCTGTTCTCCTCCAGACCCGGGAAGTTTGTTAGCTGAACGTTTACAGAAGTCCTTTAAAAATTTTTTGGTTTAATATTTGTTGTCAGCTTTGTCGCCTATTATGCTCCTTTCTCTTGCTGCTCCTTCAAGGACCATTGCTAGTTGTGCTTTAAAGCTGACATTTCAACTAACACCCCCTGAAGGGAATTGAGAGACCATAGGCCATGATGATCTGTCCAGCAATACAACAGCAGCAAAAACAAAACACCACACTGTAGCAAACAATGTGTCTTGCTCATTAACTGTATTTCAGGTCTTTAGACAGAAAGTGATATTGATAGCATTGAAATAGACGTGCTCTTCTGCAGCTCTGCAAGATGTTGTCATGGAAAATAAATATACAGCACACAGAAGAATTAAGGTGAACTGTATATTTTTAATAAATCCAGTAAAAAGACTGCAATATATTACAATGTCTGCGGGGACAAACTAGTTAGGGTTATATTAAAAGCATTAGTTTTGTACTGTGCCTTAACTTTTATTCT